TTGCTCTAGGAAAGCTAACTTACCAATCACCTTTACTATAGCCTATCCTCCAACACTTTTGCTATAGACTTATATAAGGAGCCAAGGAGAGAAATAAGCTTGAAGTATCCCTAACTCCAAAGGGGAGTCCACCTGAGGGACAATAACTATAAAAATGGAGGGTAAACTCCTCGCGAGTACTGCATTCTAAAAAAAATGATCAAACATAACATAGACCTTCCCATTTAGCAACCCCTAAAAGCTCTTATAGAAAGAAAAATTAAAGCCATCAAGGCAATGGCTCTTAGGCACATCCAACCAAACAATCACAAAGTCCATTTTAGAAGGCATAAACCTAGCAGAAAGAGAGTCAACATTTATCGTCGAAAGGATAGGCAAACAGACTCCCTCAAGAATGGACCTACCGCTAACTGATTCAGAGAAGTGCTTCTAAAAAACACCTAGAGATCTCATTACAAACCTCTTCCAATTTTGTGAATAACCCATCCCTTACGCGAAGGGCACTATATCGTTCCTACGACTCCTCTGCTTAACACAAGCACGGAAAAACCCAGTATCTGCATCCACTTCTTTGAGTCAGGCCGACTCAATCGCTTAAAAATTTAGGAGTCATGACATCTGATAAGCTCCCCAGACTCATGGACGTACGACAGAAGTCCTAGTCATCGACTCTTCAAGAAATAGCTCTCAACTTCTAACCCATAATTATTAAACTTACTCTTTAAACCACCGAACACCAACTTATTTCACACATATAACTTTTTCTTAACAACTTCAAATTATCTTATGCGAGATTAATATAAATTATATAACTCTCAAATAATAATTTTATAATAGTTAATAGATTGAAATCCTTTAGATACCTAGTCCCCAATTTTAGCTTATTCTTTTTTACAAGGTTTTGTGCTTAATAATTTTTAGTATTAAACCAAAAAAAGTTATATTTTTTTAAAACAAAGATACACTAATAAAAATTCTTGCAACCTGACTACACCTTGTTCTAGTTCTATCAGTTTCTTTTATAATAATTTTTTCTACAAATATTTGGAAGGCACATAGCAATGATTGACACTCTATTATACATTTCCCAAAGTAGATTCAGATTATCTTACTTTCTTGTTTATTTATTTTTCTTCTTCTTTTTTCTCCCCACTGATGCCATGCTACATGTTACAAGAACCTTGTGAAGCCTAACACATAAACAGTGTTTTTATAAGAGAGTGGAGGGACTTATAACCTACACATATCTATGGTGGTGGGACACAATACCAATTTTGACTTTATACATATTAATATTATCATTTGCATGGTCTTTTATCTTTTCAGCAACTTCTATTCCATCCATGAAGATTGAAAAGTAGCACACCGTTTAATGCCACTGTACTTGCTATCAACTTAAATGCAACAAGTCAAAAATCATATACATCTTTTTCTTCATTATCAAAACCACTCCACCACTCAAAACTTTCCCTCCACTTTTCTTTTGTTTTACACTTAAATATTGGTTTCTATGATAAAGACAAATTGTGTATGACTATATGTATATTTGTTGTGATTCCTTGAATTTTTCATCACTTACAATTTAATTTAATAGCAAGCATTTTATTTAGATTTTAAAGAAAAAAAATATGAGCCATTTAATTTGATGTGAACTGATTGAAATCATTAATAATGTAATCCTTAATTTAATTATACTAGGTAGCATATATATATATATATATATATATATATATATATATATATATATATATATATATATATATATATATATATATATATATATATATATATATATATATATATATATATATATATATATATATATATATATATATATATATATATATATATATATATATATATATATATATATATATATATATATATATATATATATATATATATATATATATATATATATATATATTAAGAGCACGTGTTAAGAAATCTAAAAATAAAAAATTTGTGTTGGAAAAGACAATAAAAATATTAATTTTTAATTTTTAATTAAAATAAAATATAATTTTCAATAAATAATTTTTACATTTTGCTCTTAACCTGTATGTTAAGGACATGTGTTAAAATTACTCATATTTTAGAAATAATACATTCAAATAAAAATTATCAAAGTCAAACTATTAGATGAACATATTAATTTTTATTTGTCCATACAAATAATATCATATTAATTAACTTTTGAATATAGCGAATTTGATCCTTTTTTTCCTAGTAATTTTTATAGACCATACACATTTTTGGGTATGAAATGATATTGAATTCATGAAATAATTAGAGAAAAAAGTCATAGTAATTAAAGGTTTTATTCTCATTTAGATGTAAATAACTTTTTATTAAGCAAATTATAGGCGTAAATAGGTTATTACTTGTATTTATTTTATCTCCCTCTTTCTTTAATTATTTATTAATTTGTTGAAAATTTGCATAATTAACAAATAAGATTAAAATACATTTATGGTAGTGTGAACGCATGATGCACAACTCAAGATACCAATATCAATAATAGTGCAATTCATCGATGCATATGATATCTATACCAAAACTAAGCACAAATCATGCTAAATTTTATAAAGTTGATTTGTATTATTTCCTTAGAATGGAAAATGCAATTAAAAATGCATTAATATTTGTGTGGTTATTAGGATAATGATTCCTTTAGATGGTAGCAAGAAATGGTCCCTTTTCTTTTCTCCCTTACTATCAATCCACAAAAGAAACCTAGCTCCTACTGAAATAGACTTTTCTTGTCTATTTCTATGTATTAAATTATAAATTATTTGATTTTAATCATAATTCATTTTAATTTTTAAATTACATATAGATTATTGTAATTAGTGGATGATATTAATTTCTTTACACCGACAAATATTTTCTTAAATAAAATTATATATATGTCTTATCAATCCCATGAAATAAAGAAAATGACATCCATGCTCAAAATAAATCTTTATACCCGTTTGTGATTAAATCAAAGTCAGTGTGGGCACAAATCTCTAAAGTATAAAGATAAAGAGAATATTATGTATATATTCAACATAATTATTAATTTATTTTCTGACCAAACACTTCTTGAGTGTATAATTTTCTTCCTCTCATAGTCATGTGGTCAATTATTGACTATTTCCAGCTTATGGAAGAGAGCTAGGTTTGAAAGACAAATAAATTTTTTCCCAGCTATCTAAGTATCTGTCAAGAAAAAAAAGATGTATCTATCCAAAAACAATGATGTGAAATTGTTTGTTTATCAGTTTGAATCTCTATCCTTTAATATTAATTAAGTTCATATTTGAATTGATAATAAGTTTATAGAAAATCACACTACAATAAGAATAAGTTTTTATTTTTATAAATATAATGACATGCACATCATAATAATGTCAAGATCATTCTAATCTAAACATATGTCTTAGGTGATCTATTTTATTTGTAAAGATGTGATTCTCATATTCACGCAAGTGATAAGTTTATATCATTTACATAAGATCAAACGATTTAAATTACAAATTTATCAACTAATAATAACCATCAGATTATCATCAATTGTAAAATTATTTTTATATAAATTATATTTTTATTAAAAAAATTCAATTTTCCTATTATGACTTTTTTTTAGTGGTCCTATTATGTTTATCTTGATCTTGTATGATCAATACTCATTGAGGTTGAAAGTTTTAATGATTTTCTTTCTACGACTATCTAGTTGTTGTCCAAGATATTTTCTGACAACATATATGTCAGGTAGAAATTTTGATTATGATTAGGTAGGATGAAAGTGTCAGAATTTCTGAAGATGAGGAAAAAAATGTTGAAATTAAATGTTTTGTATATAGTTGTGAAAAAATATATATAAAAATGGCAAGTTATCATGAGATTTGATGGTGTACGAGCCAATATTATTTTTAGAAGGTAGAAAAATTTGGAAACAAAAATTGATAGCAATGAAAAACTAGCCACTGATAATCATGGAATCATGTCATCACTAGCTATAATCAATCTTTAATAACATTATCACAAACCATTAATCCTTGATTAATCTATGGTAAGCTAGTGCATCAACATCCAAATTTCACTAATTAATACCATAGCTCCTATAAAAAATATTATTCAATTCATGAATTTTGTATCAAAATCAGAAAATAATCACATAACAAACAAATTTAATATTTCATATACTTTATATGTGTTGATTAATTAATTGATACTTATATACCAACTAATTTAGATTCAAGAAGAATGATTCTGGAAAAAAGAATAAGACATGACTAAGACGAATAACCTTCTAGCTATATAGATTACATGCAAAGACGTGACAAAGAATTGATTCTGTATATCATTACACTTTAACAAACTAATTAAAATTTTTATTTTTTTTAATAATTTATTTATAATTTTAAAATCAATGAAGAAGAAATAAATTTATAAAATACTCGATTTCTAATTTAAATAAGCATCATCATTAATTAAGTAGTTCTTGTTCTACAAGTATATGATCTATATATACAATGTATCCTAAATCAATGTATATATAATCAATAAAAACATATAAAATATACTTATAACTACTGATTCTCTCTCTGAATCTTTTTCCCTCCCTTTTAAACAATTTGTACATATGAAAGTGCTACCAACATATATTTTTTTTTATTTTCATATCATTAAAAATAAAAGCAAGCAAATAACTATATCTATATCTATATGTATAAAGCTATATTAAAATTTAACTAAAAATATCCATGGCCTCACCTGCATGCTAGCCAGCTGCAACTGCTTCCAAATGACTATGAAGAAACTTTTCTAACTTGCTTCTTCCAAATTCCTAATTAACAACCAAAATCTCCATACCTTGTTTACAATCTAGTCGTCGGCGCGAAATTCGAGAGAGTAGTGTAAAAGGTTAAGGTACTTAACCATGTTGTTGATGATGATTATTAATCTTGAGTCATTCATCTAAGTTTATAGTACCTTAACTAATTGAAGTGATATTAACCATACCAATTCATGCCTTGAATTTGATATGGTATTGATCCCAACATTGTTTGTTGTTGTTGTTGTTGATGCAATGAAGATGTTTGAGGAAGATTATTAAGGAGAGAAGCAAAAGAAGTACCATTTTCTTGATGATCATTTCTCACAACACTTTCTAAATTGAACCTTTTGTTTGATGATGAAGTACCAACTTGAGCTGCAACATCTTCATGATCATTCCAATTGTAAAGAGAAGAGAGTGTTCTCTTGGAAGGTGAATTTGCATTTGAAGATGTTGTCATGCTTGGTACAAAAGATAACTCTCCTCCCTTTGAATTTGAACCTCCTAAATTGTTGTTGTTCATCATCATTCCTTCTAGTAAATTTTGATCAGTTTCCAACAATGTATTGTTGTAACTACTTGATGATATCTTTGAAAAATGATGAAATCTTGTCGCCGCATTCATTTGACCCACGTTGATCGACGGATGTACTCCTCCTATCATGTCTTCCATTGAATCTTCCCTATCGTGCTCCACCGGTGATCGATGTGTGTTGCTTTTCTTGTAGATCCGACACAAAACCCAATCATCAAGCTATAAATAAACAACACAATATAGTTAATTTCAAAAACACTAACCAGATCGTTACCCAAAAGAGTTGGATTAGTTTTGGTTACCCTAAGAGAGTTTTTCTTGTTGCCCAAGTCACAACCAGGAGGCCTATTATTAGGCTTATTATCAGCAAGCCTATACTCATGCATGATCCAATTGGTTTTGATTCCTCTTGGAGGTTTTCCACCATAGAAAACCAAAGCTTTCTTCACACCAACTTTTTGTGTTCCATTTGAAGTCAATACCGGCTTATCAGTACCCGTTGCCTTCCAATAACCCGATGTTGCTGCCCTGTTTGGCCTCGCTCCATTAGGATACTTCCTATCCCTTGGACTAAAGAAATACCACTCTTGCTCCCCAAACGTTGCCTTAGCTGCAAAAAAAAATCACAATTAAAATCCATACAAATCTATATACAAAAGAATTAGTAAAGATCTTGAGCATACGTGAAATCAAACCAGTCTCAGATTAAAAAGATTAGACATATAAATATTAAGTTACATAGAACAAGTAAACCCATTTCAAATTTGAACGTAAAGATCAAAAACATGTAATCTTTGAAACTACCTGGTAGTTCCCATGGATCAAATTTGTAGAGATCAACTTCAGCTATGATGGCTACAGGCAGAGGAGCAGAAGCTGCTTTTTTCTTGAGATAATGAACAACAAGCTCTTCATCAGTAGGATGAAATCGAAACCCCGGCGGGAGATTCGGCTGTTGCGAACCCGTCGACGAATCAGTACTTTCCATGTCTGCAGAGGTTTTCTTCTTCCTTTTCACTGAGAATTTTCTGAATGGTTTTGGCTATGGTTTTCTTCAAAGAAGAAGAACATGTTATTATGATAGTAACAAACGAAAATAGGTTCGTGGTTTTTGTTACCCCACAAAGAGTGAACCTTGTTTTATATTGGTACGGTAAGGGAGTGATAAGAATCACCTACGTGAAGGTTCATGATAACGGTTAGTAGACACGCAACGTGTTGTTATTTTAGGGGTATATTAGTCTTTTTGAAATGTGAATAGTGACGTGGCTGAGGGTGCATGGGGAGGAAGTGGGTACCTGATGATGACGTTAACTAGAATTCAGGCCGTTGAGAGGTTGACACGTGGGATTCCAAATCATAGAAGGGTTGACACGTGGGTGGGACCATGAATGAAAGTGAAATTTCTTTTTTATATTTTTAATATTTTTTTATTTTTTTAATTAATTTTAAAATTTTATATTTATTTTCACTTGATTGTGATTTTAATTATGGTTTGTGAAAAGATAATAAAGGGGTCAATGGAAGGATAAGTGTGAGGTTGTGGCAGTGGAGAATGGAGAGATGATAAGATTTTTGGACTAACAAAAAAAAATTAATTAACCTTGATTAGTTGGTGGGACCCATATTGTAATCCCACTTTAAATTTTTCATCAATGGGAATGGTTGGAATAATGCATCATTATTAGTCATATGACATATGGTTCATCTATATTAATTCTATTGTTTATTCATTTTTGAACTTATCTTTCATTGTTTTGTATATGCATAGGTAAGTAGAGACAAAAAAGAATAAATGGGATTTGGCTGTTTTTACATTTGAAGAGTAAGAAAATATATGCGACAAAAATTAAAAGGAAACTTATCTCACTTTTGTACCTTTTTTAAATTTATTTAATTTATTAATTAATTAAAAAGGTGATTATTATATAAATTAAAGTATAGTAATAAAAATTAGATAGGACAGCACCATGTTATAGCTTAGAGTGATTTTTAGTTTTCTTGAGTTTAATGATAATGTAAAAAAGTTTAATATAACTTTTCCATGTCTAAAAATTATATTTTAGTCAGACTTTTGTTTTTTGTTTTGTATGAGATCTTCAACAAAGTGGTATTTTCTTTTATTGTTGTGGTTTGTCAAGGTATATCCATGCACAGTTGTAAAGACTATACATTTTTTTCAATGACTTCAAATGTATTTAAAATTGTGTCTTTTATAGTTAATTAGTCTTCATAAGCATGAGATGTGAATCAAACATTTAACTGCACATACTTGAGTCATTCAAACTATGTCCTAACCACTAGGATGATGACAAAAAAAAGTCACCATAATCATATAATTTTAATTGTATGACTATCTTGGTGACAAAAGTCAAAACTAACGAATCTCACGTGTTTACTGTCGTTGTATAAAAGATAGATGAAAGACAAAAGAAAAATATTAAATAACGGTTATAAAATAAGGAATAATGAATATATTGACCTATTTATTATTAGACTATTTATACACAATATTAAAATATAATAAAATATTAAAATATCTTCTAACAAACTTAGTCAGTAAGACATTTCTAAAATATAAATTATTTTCAACATCTATAGTATTTATATTCTAAGTTGACAAAAGACTCGATAAAAGAAAGAATCAATCATCAGTCAAAGACTAGTTCATCAGAATGAGAAATGTATAGTCCAATCATGTTACTTAATATTCCATTTGATTCATGTCCCAAAATTCTGGTCATCGTTAAATATCATCTAACAATTTTTCGCATTCTAAGTCGTAAAGCATGAGACACATTAACCAATTTTTATATATAAAACATCTCATATAAAGTAAAAGATATGAGGCTAACTATAACACATTCTACACTTCTAACACTTATCATTTGACTTAGACATCACATAATCTTGTTTGTCCGTTATGTTTAGGTTGAAATGAGAAATTGATTTATCTTTTTTTTTTTTATGTCCTCTAACTATGTGACATTTATTATTTCATTGGATTGATCTTAATATTTTAATATCATTCGTCTGTATTTGTAATCATTTAACATATTTCATGTTCTTAATCAGACTAAAGGTTATTAAGAACTCCAGTTATCATTTTTTGCTGGCAACCATTTGATTTATTTAGTTTATTAGGAACAAAATTCTTTTAAGAGAGGCCGCAAATGTGCGAGTGAGATTGTTGTGTTCACGAAAATTCTATCTTAAAAATGGTTTGGTTCTAGAAGTAGAGGGGAGTTGAGTTGTATATGAGAGAATTTGCTTGTTGTTCAATTGCTTATATTCTAATATCTTATGTATAATTTTTCTTTGGCTTACTCGGTTGATTAGACTTCCCAATGCTCTCTTATATTCAATCATTTTGTTATAAAAAATTGACTTACACATTAGATTAAAATTTTACGTATCTATGTTTGATCCACCTCTTCAAAGCAACACCATTTCTCTTCTTCATGAAGCGAACAAATGGGTAATCTAATCTACATATCTATAACATAACATAAAAAGTAGCATTCCGACCAACAAGGACTCACTTCCTAAATAAATTCTACTTAATAAAAACTCTAAAAAAAATATATTTAGCACATAAATTTACAAAAAATTAAATTCTAAAAGTAAGACCATATTCTTATGAGAAACAAAAATGATGAATGCGAGTAATTTAAGACATATACCATATCACTTTTGACAAGTGGAAAATATTTATTGCTTTTCCTTTTCATCTATAAGTTAATCTCTATTAATGGAAGTTGAACTATAGAAAAAAACTAAAATGTTTAATATATTTGCTTATCTTATTTAACGTACATGGACCTTAATTTTATAAAATATGAAATTAGTATATAGTAATTAGTTTGATGAAAAGTGGGGTGGGGTGGTGAGGGCGATGTACATGGCGACACATGCAAAGAAAGTATAAAGACAAAAAAATGCCATATCTTACAATGACTCATGGTCCAATCAAAACCTATGGAGGCTGCAAAAATCTTCAATGAGGTAGATGCATACACTATCATAAGTGGGCTCCATATGCTGATTCCATCAGCGACCATTGGGTCCCATTGGGAATCCTTTACTATATACTTCATGATAAAACAAACCCTAGTTGTCACCTAAGTAATCGTTCAATTTTCATAATAATCCACATTAATCTTTAATGCATTAGACAAATTGTTTTTCTTTAGCAAAAGTCATGCAGTTTAAGGGATAATGTGACACATAAGATCTACTTTTTTTCCTCCAATCTTTACTAGGTTATTTTAGACCTATTTATTGAAAAATCTTTTTAACAATGTTATGTTCAATGTCTACACATATATATTAGAATGAAAATTTCTACAACTCATTTAACGAGATAGCTCAATTAATATATAACAATGAGTTTGATGGTATTGGTGTAAGATTCGATTTCTAGAGTTAATATCTACTTCTGAGCCACTATAGTTCACTAATAAAATAACAATGCACTTTTCTTTTGGTTCATTACTAATAGATATCCACGTTAGAGATTAAATCTTACATCAATTATTTATATTTTTAACTTAATTAATATACATCACTTAAACTATTACAACTTGACCTATCTCATTAACTCACTCTTTTCGTCTATATTTAGGTATTTATAGAATATAACTATGAATATAAAAGTTAGTGTCCAGACGGATTAAACTCAGATACAAATTTTTTTAAAATTAAATATAAAAATAAATAAATACATAATAAAATTAAATATATTATGTGTCACATTATCCCTTAAACTGTATGACTTCACTTCAATTCAACTATTGATTAGACTATTATGCTTGTGGATCACAAACCAATCATGCATGAACTCTTCTTTTCTCTTCTTAAAAATTTATGATTAAAAAATTTATTTAATATTTTAAAATTTTGTTGGATAGCATACAGAAAATTAGTTTACAATTTAAATTTACTTAAAAATAGTTATATATAAAAAATAAAACAATTGAATATTGAATATCATATTCAACAAAACTATAAAATATACGTTCACCTTTTCTGCAATATTTTGAAAAAATATATCTAAATGATAATTTAAAATTTAAGAAATCATCATATTTTGTGAAACAATGATTCCTTTCGTTCTGACTTCTTTATCACAAATTTAATTATTGTACAAACACAAAGTATGCTTTTTATTATTATTTTTTATTTTGAAAAATACTACGTGGTCTTAAAGTCTATCTGTAATAAAAGTCAAAGCTCATTTTAAAATACATTATTATTAATACCTTTAATACCGTTATTTTACAACTATCACATTTGAAGTTTAAACTATGTTTTTTGAGATTTTGTAAAGTAAGAATTTTAAGAATTGATACATGCATGTGGATTGGTTTGGCAGCTAATTAACCGTAAAGCCATTCAATTTTTCTGTTACAAGTTGCATTCACATCTCATTCTTTGAACAAATAACTTTATGGGCAGAGGCATTTTTGTTTCTATCTTTCTTTAGAACTCTAATTTTTCAATATAAGTAATAATTAACTTTCGGAACAAAGTATATTATTTTCTCAGAAAGTAAAAGAAGCAAATACTTATTTTCATTCCTTAAACAAAAAGTTCAAACATGACGATGATTGACTTGATACCATACATTTTTAAATTCTCCAACAGATATATTCGTCCAAGATTCCCTCTTAATAAGCACGGTCTTATCTTATTTATCTATTAGTTTTTTTTTTACAAGTAGAAAAAGAAAAAAATTACTTAGAAAATAAAGTGTCATTAGTATTTTAAGGGTGAAAATAAATTGGTCCGAGCTATATGCAATATCAAGTTTGAGTTTGTTCTATTAAAATTTTTAAAAGTTTAAGTCTGACATATATCTTATCATATACTTAATTTTAAGCTTGAGTCTCGTCTAAATTTGACATTGTTCATAAGATTCTACAAAAGATGAGTATGTCGTATCATTATCAACCTCATATTTTGTTAGATAGTTAGCACAAATTTTTC